CTGTCTGTCTGTCTGTCTGTCTGTCTGTCTGTCTGTCTGTCTGTCTGTCTGTCTGTCTGTCTGTCTGTCTGTCTGTCTGTCTGTCTGTCTGTCTGTCTGTCTGACAGTTTTTTATGTCTGTCTGAGTATCTGCTCTTTCATAAAACTTCCCACTAATATGATCAAGATAGACATATGTGAAAGCCACCGCAAAGTAAGGTCGCAACATATGGAGGAAAGTTAACTAGGTGGTGTGATGTTAAGGATAGCGCTAATGCAGCTAGGTCTAGTGTACTGTGCTTCAACTTAGTGACTCTAATCATTCGTGAGCAATTAATATCGGTTTGTGGTGTGACTGAGCTAGCTATTATTATTAAGCTCTTATTTGTAGTAGAGCAACTACGTAACTTGATATGGGATAGATGTAATAGGGTTGGAACTTAGAACTGGGCTTTCAATATATACTGGGACGTACTTCAGCACTATGATATCAGTCGATGTTAGTAATAAAGAAATTGCGACGTCAATAGATCACGTTCTGGGATGTCCTTAGTCTCCAGTCAACTTTCGTTTAAATTTTTGTATTCTTCATATAACTTTGTACTTATGCAATGAATTGTACCGATCACCCGGTGTACAAGTCAGATCTCTTGTCTTTACAACAATCTGGTATGGCACCAACTAACCGACATCCGAAAGATGAAAGGTTTGGCTTTTCTAAGCAGCTATCGAACCTGAGCCACATAGTCGGTAGCTCCGCTATTAGAACCTCTACCCCTTTTGCGCCCTTAGCACTCCACATAAACTTCATAAAGTGGCGGATGTGGGGGGGGGGTGTAGTTACAGGTGTTGCACTGTCACCCCCACCTATGGCCCGGGTATGGAGGCCCAGATCGTTACTCGCCCATACCAACCAGATATGTTCATTAATTCATACTGTTTTTATACTGTTTTTTCGACACCAATTGCTTTCAAGAAGGTTTCTTGACTTGTCAATTTCTTGGTGTGTGCGTTTTAATGTATTTTCATTTGCTCAACCCCTCAACGAAGAAGAATTTTTTTTGTTCTCTGTCATTATGGAAGTAGCTCTTGTTAAGTGATGAGATAGCCTTTACACGGTAAATGCTTTATCGTAATACATCTCTATTTGTCTCCAGATAAGAGTGCAATTATACGGCTGTGCCCGGCGCGCAGTATCGTCATTAATGGTGTTTGCCGACTTCGATAAGCGAAAATTGCTTTTGAAATAGCTTGATTAACTTGTTGATACTTTCGTAATGCTATCAATTACTGAACAATTACTTTCATTGCCTCTAGATTCGATCAAGAGCTCTTCGATGGGATGCTAAATTTGCTTGACTCTGCTTGTGCTAGTTGGCATACGATTATTTTTTCCTATACTATTCTCTTTTTATTCTATTATTCTTATCGTGACTGGTGCAAAACGCGTCAGTCAAATAAAAAAAAAACCCTGAACGCGGTCACTGTAGTTCCAGATCACTTTTTCAGGGTGATTCGTTCTCAAAGTCTATGTCCATGAGTCTATGTCCTGGGGTTCCCTTGGACGGAAAACTTGCTTTTCTTAGTAGTTTTTATTTCCTTCCACTTCCTCTTCTCGGATTTTTCCCCAATTCCCACCAGGCGTGCTCTATCCCCTCTAGCTGGATGGACAGCCTCGGTAAGGTTACCGCCGTTGAAAAAGGGCAATTCTAGACTTCCTCATAATTCACGTTACCATGGAATATAATTGGGGATGGAAATAGTGTGAGCAAAGTAGTAGAAACGTCCCTTCGATGCTCCCCATATGTGGTTTTAAAAGCTTAGCTGATTGGCTCCCCTGTCATCCCCGGGTTGGCAGCTGGTTTGCAGGGCTTTCTCATCTAATCGATCGACATCTCAGGATTCTGAAGGTGCTTGCCTTTCACGTCCGTGGGGTACGGGGAATTGTTCTTGTTTTTATCAACAACATTTTAGCAAATCAGAAACTCTCAGCTATCGGTATTGATGGTAGAAATCGTTCAGGCACTAATTTCCTTGGCATTTCCTGCAATTAAGGCAAGTGGAGGGAATCTAGTCGAGGGAAATTGCGAATTAGTTACTGCACTGAAGTAATTGGGGATTGATGGCGGGCATGTACACACTAGACGACTCCTATACAGCGCCGCTACAGGTTCCGCATGCCCTATCAGCGCCCAGGGTGCAGGTCGATATCTGCCAAGTTTTATTTTATGGAAAGTTTTAAGTAGCAGCTAGGATTGTCAAGGATAAAGTCTTTGGTGTCATTCAATCTCATTCTGAATGGGTGTACAATGACTTGCATTAGCCAGCCGATGAAGAGCTCCCAGACGAATACCAACTAATCTGCAGCCGAAGGCTGGTATACTTTGTTGACCAGGGCGGGTATTGATCACGGATTAGATCCTCGCCCTCCATGCGTTCATAGTAGTGCTCCACATGCCAGTACACTACCCCACCCTGAGTTTAGATCAACTTCTGAATAACATTAGGACAAGGGTGATTGAACTCATGACTTTGCTAGTCTTCTGCTGAAGCTTTGATCTTTTGAGCATTTGTAGACAAGTACACATTGATATGAATTTTTATTGACGCATGAATGAAGCAGCTAACCGGTTCTTCAGTAGGCATGACGCAACTTTTTTACGGACAGAGGTGGCAGAAGGAATCTAATTTACAGTTTTCTACATGTTTTCTGTCGGTGCATTTTCTCTTCAGCTCTTTGAACTTGATTCCGTTATTGTGTGAATTTTTAGTCTTAGCAGCTATTTTTGCTCTCGGCAATTTGCAAATGATGACATTTGTAGCTATATTGTGCACTTTTGTCTAAAAATATCAAGTTTTCTTTAGGTTTCTATGAAAGATGTTACTATTAGTCAACGTCGAACGACATCAAGATGTTCTAGGGAAAATCGTTGCTGATTTGGTTAGTTAACTTATTCACATATTGCTTTTAATATTATCGTTTTTCTAGTGCTGTGGTTGTGGGCCCATGATAAGTAGGGCATGGTCTTTTTTAATCGGTTACTTTTGTCTCTTGCTGCCCATCTTTACGACTTGTTGGTGCACCACTGCGTTTTGTCCAAGTTTCTTTATGTAATTTCTTCGATTTCTGAAGGGTGAGCATGTGATAATCATTCGGGCACAGAGATCTCTGTTGCAGTGTTTTCAACGGTTTGTCAAAACCCTCTATGAACCCCTTCATTGAGTTGTAGGCGTATTACTTCAACGAGTTCAACATTTTGGGCGGGTTCCTTATGATTATTTCTATATTATTCCATTCCTGTAGTATGTAGCAAAGCGTATGAGTGGTTTTCGATGTTCAGGTCAAATATGGAGTGCCAATATCTCTAGTAGCTGGTACTGACAAGATTTGCACACGATGCTCTTTTGTGGAAAAGCTGAGCCCAAAAGAGCAGGAGGCTAAACTATCAACTCTAGTGTCACCAGTGCCGCAGATTGGATTCCCTGTGCAGGTGTAGTTACCGCTTTCTTTATAAATTTTTAGTTTGAACATATTTCACATGTGCTTGTGTTTCATAACTTTAATTTGACGGGCTCTACGAGTTTTTGCGAGATGAGATTCCATAGCTAAACTTATTTTTTATTGCTCAAGTGAAGTTAGATGGTTCAATTCACTGTCTGCTCACCTCATTTGAGTTCTGACGTCATCATTTTAAATAGAATTCAGTCGTGGTTGTTCCCGGGTTTCAAATGCATTGACTGCTGATTGTTCGAAACAGATCTTATAAAATAGGTATACTAATAAATTAGTTTTATAAGTTTTCGTATCTGCTGCATCAACCTCGACCGGATGGTTAGAGCTCGGTCATTACTCCTGATCTTAATGGATGATCTCTGTCTCTTTTTTGATCTGATCGCTTCTACGTAGGCTTTGTAATAGAAATTCCAATTCAAAGAAAGATAAGGCTGTAGCAGAAACGTTCACAAAACCACTCAGTAAGTGGCGGTAATAATGGAATAGAAGGGGTGACTAGAAGAAGGCTGTAATGATGACTATTCCCAGCATAAAGGAAAATTGGCATCTAGTGCAGCTGCACTTTCGATTTTTGCCTACCATTAAATTGCCACTCTCGAGAAGTAGTTGGCTGACGGAATTGTGAGCCTTCGAAGAAATTTGTTGGAATATCTGGGAAAAATGGATTTCATACATTTTTTAAAGCTTTTTTTATTGTGTAATGATTTTCCTTTGTGTTGCAATTATCTTTGTTTGTATTTGTTTATTGTTTTGTTTCATTTTGTTCTGAGAAGACTACTCATTGAATAATGAAACATCGATCGCTGAGCTTCATTGCTAGCATTTTAGGCGACGATGGCTGAAGTAAAGGAGGAACCCAAAGGTGATCGCCGTGCAGATGACAACCGCGAAAGTGAAAGTCCGTGCGTGACAGCAACTCCGACACCAATGGCAACGAATGAGGTCGATCAGGCAATTAAACGGTAAATGTCACATGTTATTTTCTAACTTGACAGCCGATGAATGCTTTCCATTGTCTTCTAATGAATTGTTTCGATTCCCATATTGTTACTGGTTTTCTACGCTTTGAGCAGGATAAGTGGTCGTCAAAGTTCATCATCGTAGAGCTTTTAAGGGCTCTACGCGTTTCGAACACACCACTCCCTGGTGTGATGGCTTTGCCGTTGAGCTTTTTTACGCCTACCTGCGACAGAGAGACGTCAAGAGAAACTAGCAAGAACGGAAGTTGTTGTGAAGAAGAAGATGTAAGGTGTCATCTATTTTGAATCACGTTAAATTTCTACATTACAATTACCACTAAAATCCTCGCTAATCCGAAGAAACGAGGGTACGAAGAAGGGCATGGAGATCAAGCTCAGCGACTTCGGTGATAGAGAATGTCATCTCTATGGGCCGTCGCTCAGTGGCTGCATCATACTTCTTACTGACTCATTGCTAGCTGTGTCGATGCATTTCGGTTGCACCCTCCCTCTTTAGCTAATGGTGTATTCCTGCTGGAATAATAAATACATTGATGCTTTGAGGGTTGCTAGGTCGTTTTAATTATCCTCACTGTGTATTTTTTTCGACAGCCCTAAAAAATTCGACGTTCAGTTTAAGACCTCCGTCGATTGTTGATGTAACTACTGCAGTTCAATTTTTTTCAGTTTCGACTATGTAACGTGACCTCATCAACGTCAGGTCTCCAAGCTTCCAATGCCAGTCAAGCTGGCAGCAATGCTGATTCCATTTCAGAGCAAAATCCTGATCCCGAAATGTATTCGCAGGTAAATAAAGGTTGCGTAGCACTTGAAAACTGCAGTGTACTCAGTAATTTTTGCAGAATAGCGCATCAAAGGTCCGCGTTCGCAAAAGAAGAGATCGACCGCTTAGTTGTAGGTTATTAAAAGAGTTTTCAATCATTCTCATAAAACATGTCGTTAATCTTAAACATGATTCAGTAACAAAAAGTGGCGTGGCTAGAAAAGGACGGAAAACATACACGGAGCGCGATTTGGTGAGTCATTAATAATTTTCTTAAGTGGTTTTTACGTTCAGACTAGGCATCTAGCTGTTGCAACTTTGCTCTAAAAATTGGAGTGACTACTTTTAGCAGAATTCGCGAAGAATTTTAAAATATTCACTTTTGTTACATTAGTTCTTTTTTGTGTTACAATAAGAACTGTTTTACACTATCTTTTTTTTTTAATGTTGCTCAGGACCGGTAAGCCTATCACGTCTTCTCCGACTTTCTCAGTCGAATCCGTTTAGGCTACTTGAGTAAGGTCACACAACATTTAGAGCACTTCATTATTTATTTACTTATTTATTTATTTATTTGTACGCAGATAAACAGGTTATCCACATGGACAAATGAAATGACAGTAACAAACAGAGCATATCAAACTCAAGAGTATAACGAAACTATACCCCAACAAGACTACGAATAAATGTAATGAGAAATTAAAAATAAGAGGAGGCTGTATGTAGAAATAGCAACGGAACCTCAACCAGGAAGCATACAAGTCCTATCCGCATGTAGAGCCTTGATAGCTAGGCCTTTGAAAGGGTTCAGAGAAAGGC